GATGTCATGGGCTGGGGGTCACAGGGTGGGTGTCACAGGGCTGGGTCACGAAGGGCTGGGGGTCACAGGGTGGAGGTCACATGGTGGGTGACACGGGGTTGGGGGTGATGTCATGGGCTGGGGGTCACAGGGTGGGTGTCACAGCGCTGGGTCACAAAGGGCCTGGGGTCACGGGGCTGAGGGGTCACGGAACTGGGAGATGGGCAGGGACACTGATGCGTGGGGTGTCCTCTGGTGACTGAGAACGTTCTGGAACTGCACAGGTGGTCACTGCACAACAATGAATGTGTAAATGTCACTGATGGTAAATTTTAGCTTGTGTGTATTTTGCTAACCGTGTGAAACTTCCAGTTCTGGTCAAACAGGAGGTAGAAACTGAAATGGGTGTGAACGCATGTGTGTGTGCACCCGCATGTGAACACGTATGTGTGCACAACAGTGGGTAAGGGTGTCCGGACAGGTTCTGATACTGTCACTTTCAGGTGTTCTGGTGTTTCCTGTGGGGACAGGTGGCCCCAGAGGTGCTGGTGCCCCAGAGGCTGTCCAGCAGGAGCTCCCCGCAGGGAACACCTGAGCCCCCCCCCCCCCCCCGCACACACGGCCACTGTAGACACGGGGTGTGGCCTACGCTGCCATCCTCTGCGTCTGGAGGTGGACCGGGCTGCACACGCAGGATCCTGTGGCCACCATCCCACAGCAGCTGCCCCAGCACATAGTCTGTTCTTCACCTCGCGGCAGGTGTGGGTCCCAGACATTGTTTGAGGGTCTTAGGGAGGGTGCGGACACAGGGGACCAGGGGACAGGGACTGCGGGTCCTGGCTGAGCACAGGTGTGAGGCTGGGGGGGCCTCTGGGGTGACCCCAACCTGGCTGAGCACAGGTGTGTGTGGGGGGTGGCCTCTGGGGGAGGGGGTGACCCCAACCTGGATGAGCACAGGTGTGTGTGGGGGGGTGGCCTCTGGGGGAGGGGGTGACCCCAACCTGGCTGAGCACAGGTGTGTGTGGGGTAGTGGCCTCTGGGGGAGGGGTGACCCCAACTTGACAGAGCACAAGGTGCTGCATCCCCAATGGGCAGCACTCTTGGGGTGGCCCTGCCTGTGTCCCCTCCAAGGGGCCTTGGTGCGTCTACCCATAGTGTTGGCTGAGACCCAGCCCAGCATCACTCACCTCTGCTCCTGTGTTGCGAGCACACCCTCCCCTAGTACGCCTCTTGCTGGCAGTGTCCCCACAGAGACGTGGCCATGTCCTGACCCCCAGAGTCTGTGGAAGGGATCTTTTTTGGACATAGGGACGTGGGGAGGGGGGCGCCTATTCCAGTGATGAATGTCCCCCTGGCCTGTCTGGCTATAGGACATCAGGGTGCAGGGACGTCCACAGTGGGGGGGAGGAGGGACTCGGGTGCAGGGACGTCCACAGTGGGGGTGGGGGGGACCCGGGTGCAGGGACGTTCAAGTGGGGTCGGGGGCGGGGGGGTGGGGGTGGGACTCGGGACCGGGACGCAGGGATGTCCACGGTGGGGTCCAGGCTCAGGTAGTAGGCACGTCCACACTGGGGTGCGAATGCGCCGGTGTTGGGTTCCCTTGCGCACCCCCTCCCCCCCCAACTCCGGCAAAGCCAGCCAGGCTGGAGTGCTTGTCGAGGGTCCCGCCCAGTCCTGGGCCCGCGGGCCCAGCCCAGCCCCTGGGACTGCACGCACATCCGCTCCCTGCTTTGCGCTCAGCTGTGCAGCGACCTGGAGTCCCGTCCACAGTGGAGCCTGACAGTCACAGGTTCCGGGGATCTGGACAACTTCGGGGCCCTGGGTCTCCCCCCCTGAGGCAGGAAGGCGCGTGGAGGCCAGCCTCAGGAAGCCCGGACAGACAGACAGGGAGGGAGGGTCTGTTCCGCAGGCAGCGGGGGACCCCAGTGGCGGCCGCTGCCCAGGCCCCGGGAGCTCAGAGCCCCATTTCACAGGCGGTACGTGGGGCCCCGGGCTGTGGAGGGCGGGGCACAGGGGGCCAGTCAGGGAGCTGCCGGCCAGGAGCTGGGTCTCCAAGGAGGGAGGGAGGAAGGGAGAAAGTGGAGGAGGGGAAGGGAGGGGGAGGGGAGAGGAGGGAGAGGGGGGAAGAGAGAGAGGAGGGGGGAGGGGAAGATGAGGGAGGCGAAGGGAGGGAGGGGGAGGGAGGGGAGGGGAGAAGAGAGGGCGGAGGGAGGAGGGGAAAGAAGGGGGAGGGGGGCAGGAGGAGGAGGAGGCAGGGACCGCGGGGCTGCTGGGCGGGGAGCCCCTGAGGCAGCGCCCGGCACCCCCCCTTCCCCCGCCCCGGCCCCAGTAGCCGGACTGCGCTGCGGGGCGGAGGGCGCAGGGGGCAGTCGCGCGGGGCTCCGCCGCACACGTTGGGCTGTCCTGTGCGCGCTCTGGGTCCCGGCTGGCCTCGGGCAGGCAGGGCAGAGCCCGCACCAGGCGCACGTGCGGAGCGCCCCGCGCCCAGGAGCCGACGGGACGAGGCTCCGGGTCACCGGGGTCAGCGTCAGGGTGGGTCGGTCTGCAGGTGTGCACGTGCCCTGGAATGCGCCTCCGCCGACGCGGACGGAGGCCACACGCCCTGGCCCGGCCGGGACCGGGACAAGAGCCACTCAGGCCAGAGGGCCACACACTTCAGTAAAGGCCGCGGTCGGATTGCAGACCAACGTCCTCAGAGATCACAGGCGCCGAGGGCATGAGGCCATCCGAGCTCTGATGAAAGTCCTGTTTGCTCTGGGCCTGGGGTCCAGAGTGACCGGAACAGCAGCCAAAGCACGGCCAGGCTCTCAGGATGTCCTCCCATCCTGTCCCCTGACGCTGACCCCGTGGTCACACTCAGGACACCCTCCTGTCCCTGTCCCCTGACGCTGACCCCGTGGTCACACTCAGGACACCCTCCTGTCCCTGACCACTGACCGCTGACCCCGCGGGTCCCCTCAGGACATCTTCCCGTCCTCTGGGAGGGTCTGGTCCCTGCAGGTGGGGCTGCCCGGGACGTATGGGGCACGCCCGCCTCCCACCGCGCCCTGCTCTCCCCGCTCGGGTCCTGCTAGGACGTAGGGGGTGCAGCCTGGGGCCCGTGTGGGGTTGGGCGTGACTGTCTGGAGGCGGCCCCTCCTCCTCGCGGGGGCGGGGGTTCCCGGCGTCCAATGGCGAGGCCAGAGCATTTTAGGAAGTGCTTGACTTCGCTGCTGGGGGAAGGAGCCTCGCCGGAAAGTCCGCTGGCGAGTCTGCGGCGCGCGGTGAGTGCCTCGGGGCGGGTGGCGGGTCCCTGCGGGGACAGTGGGGACAGGTGGGGACGGGGTGGGGGGTCCCGGCCTGGAGCTCGGGCGGGGCGCGTCCTGGGCTCAGGCCTCGCCGGAAAGTCCGCTGGAGAGTGTGCGGCGCGCGGTGAGCGCCTCCGGGCGGGTCGCGGGTCCCTGCGGAGACAGTGGGGACAGGTGGGGACAGCGGGGGGGGGGGGTCCCGGCCTGGGGCGGGGGAGGGTCACGGCACGTCCTCCGGACCGGATGGGAAGGGTTAGCAAGAGGGGCCGCCACAGGCTCGACTCCGGGCTCCGCGGCCGCAGGAACTCGCCGTGGTCAGCGCTGACCCGCTCCGGGGTGGTGAGGGCGGCAGGTGCCGGTGCGTCCTCAGACCCTGCTCTGCCGCTGGCGCAGGACTTAGCGCCCCAGGTGTCATCGCGGGTCCTTGGGGCTGGGGCAGAGCCTGCGTGCGCTCAGGCGGGCCGGGGAGCGTTGGGGACCGTGAACGGGATAGAATGTCACTGCGGGTTTGCCGGCGGCACGTCCGTCCTTTTATTCACCTAAGAGCTATTTCCTGAGTGCGACTGTCGCCAGCCACCACCTCCGGATGCGCCGCGTGGACACGGAGCCACCTCCCCGAAGGCTCACGAGTGGGAGGCTGCTGTGTCTCACCTGCTTGGGCCGGGAGCCTGCAAACCTGCCCTCACCCGGTTTTGTGCAATCAACCCCCTCCTTCCCAGGGCACCCCTGAGCCGTGCCTTGATGTGATCAGAGAGGGTGGAGGCTGTCCAGCTGTCGAGGGGCTGGGCTCCGGAGAGGACATGGGGTGCTGGGGCGCCCAGGAGCTCTCACAGGGGCTGGGGTCGGCGGAGGGGACTCAGAGTGCTGGTGCTCCCAGGACCTTCCCAGGGGCTGGGCTCACGGGAAGGGACTCGGGGTGTGGGGGATCCCAGACCTCTCCCAGGGGCTGGGCTCAGCAGAGGGGATTCGGGGTGCTGGTGCTCCCAGGACCTTCCCAGGGGCTGGGCTCAGCAGAGAGGATTCGGGGTGCTGGGGCGCCCAGGACCTTCCCAGGGACTGGGCTCGGCTGAAGGGCCTCGGAGTGCTGGTGCTCCCAGGACCTTCCCAGTGGCTGGGCTTTGGAGAGGACTCGGGGTGCCGGGTGCCCAGGATGTCTCCCAGGGGCTAGGGTCGACAGAGGGGACTCGGGGTGCTGGTGCTCCCAGGACCTTCCCCAGGGGCTGGGCT